GTTACCTAGCCGGGTAATGAAACGTTTGCAAGAAAAGAACCAAGCTCAGAGAACCCCAAGGACTCCACAGTATTATTGAACCTTGAATCCAAGGCAAGATACAGGATAGGCGCCTGCAACATTCAGGACTGAGAAATGGGTGGCAAAGAGTCTTTTGCAGGCAAAGGAGATGTGGGTTTAAAGCCAGGATCTGATAGGGGAAGATAGCTTGATTCTTAGACTTGGCAGAAGCTGGTCTTCATTGTTCCAAGAGCTTTTCTTGCATCTGTAAGAAAGGCTACTGACCTGCCTGGGTCTCATCCCTGAGGTTCTCACTGCTAAGTTCAAGAGTGTGTGTTTGCATTCCGCAATGGAGATGTATTGTTCTACCCAGGGAGAAGCTCTGACATGGGGATCCCCAACTTTTTTGGGTCATGGACACACTTGGGATTTGGTTGTGGCCATGCCCATGAAATACCAACCTTGGGTAGGGTTGGGTGATCAGAGAGTGGCTTCTGCAACTGGGTTGCCATTCCCCCAATACCCATTTCTGGAAGGGCTAATAATGTCTAATTTCTCCATCGCTTGGTGCCCTCAGGCGCATTGCTGGAGAAGCAGGAAGAGCAATCTTCCCCTTGTTTAGGGACAGCTTCAGCATACCCCAAGAGCTCCTGGGTTTTTTCACTGGAAGTATATTAATTAAATTCATTCATTGATTCTGTCTCAACTGTTTTCTTGCTGCACAGGCCAGATTTCCTGAAGCCCTACAGCGCTGCTGGAACCATCCAGGACTACGTGGTGGCCATGCTGTGTGGCCAAGAGAAGCCACAGATGTCCGTGCAGAATGCCACTAGCTGGGGATACTTCAGTACCATAAGTAAATCCTGGAACACAGACATGTAAGTTTGAGCATGGGCTCAAGCGGAGCCTTCCCAGCCTGTAAACCATTTACACTACAGGTAATCCTCGACTTACAACCACAATTGGGACCAGAACTTCTATCACTAAGCAGTGCAGTCATTAAGTGAGTTGCGCCTGATTTTACGACTTTTTTGCCGCAGCTGTTAAGCAAATCACGCAGTCGTTAAACGAATCCTGCTTTACCCATTGACTTTGCTTATCGGAACCCCCTTGGGAAGATCACAAATGGTGATCATGTGACCCTGAGATGCTGCAACCATTGTAAAGATGTGGTTGCCAAGTGCCTGAATTTTGATCACGTGACCATGGGGACCCTGCAATGGTCATAAGTGTGAGGACTGATGATAAGTCACTTTTTTTCAGTGCTGTCTGAAAAATGCTGGAAGTGTGCAAAGCCTAAAGGTTTTAGTTAATGAGGTATAGAATAAGAAACAAATAATAAAATTCCAGGGAATTTGGGACTGGAAGCTCTGATTTCGTCTAGACATTCTCTCTTTTTTTCCCTCATTTGAACCAGTAACACGATGCAGCTGTCATGAAGTTGGCCTGAATGCATTTTTTCTTCCCTCCCTTCCCTCCCCACCTCAGATCTATATCAAGGAGCTAGTCCTTGTTGTTCAGCCTTGACAGACCCCTGTTGATTTCTGCTTCTCTTTTTAGCTTGAGCGCGGCTGGATTCCCTGTCGATTTGCTTCCTGAAGTGGTCGAATCCGGAGCCCTTGCTGGGGAAACCTGCCTCTCATGGCACCGGATACCCAAGGGCAGAAAAGTAGGGATAGCCCTGGGGGACTTCCAGTGTTCAGTATATTCTTGCATGACTGAACACAGCGATGCAGGTATGAGCCCCTGAAACCAAGAGTTTTATCGTGGCGCTGCCTGGAATGGAAATGTTGAACCTGACCAAGGGGAAATGGTCCTGCCTTGCAGATGCTAAAAACGTAACTTTAGGCTTGTAGAAAAACTTAGCTCTGGCCTCGAGAAGGAGCTGGGAGAGGGGAAACAGAAGGGACCCAGAATGGCCCCACCTTGACCTTGCGGTCCTTCGAAAGGGGCCATCAGGGTCTGAGAGGGGCCTTCAAGATTGATATCAGCCCTTTGAGGGAGGCCAACTCAAGAAACAGGCCCCACAGGGCTTCCAGGTATGCTGTCTTCTTGTTAGCAAAGAATAGTTAACAGAATCGTGAAAACCTCTCCAAAGCCTTGATGGACCCCTTCGAAGGGCCACAAGATCCAGGGGGGCTGATCTGAGTCTCTTTTTCACACTTTCCCGGGGCTCAGCAGCCTTTTCTCCTCTCCCGCCTCCTCTTCGAGGCCAGAGCTAACTTCCCCTACAAGGCTGTTGATTCCAGTCTTCTGAAATAGCCTTTGGGGCCAATCACTGTGTGGCCGCAGAGCTCCAGATGTTCTGTGCCTTACGGTTAAAATTCTGCACCAAGGCGACGCAGGTACGTCTACGAATTGCTCCACTTTGTATATAAACTGGAGGAGGCTTTTTTCTTCCAGCTCATGGGAAATTCCCATGTCTCAGGCAGTTCCCCGTTGTAACTGGAAAGACCAGAATTTGAAGCAAGAAATATCAGATGGGTTTGGCCATGGAATTCAGGACCAGAGCACTTTTGGCATGCGCTGTGCATTGAACTGAAAGCAAATTACATTTGAAAGCTACCTGACCAACAACTGGGAGAAATTAAAGGCACTTTCCAGCAGACACAAACGCGTGCCAGACATCTTCATAGAATAGGTTGCTTATTAGCAATACACTTTTTCACTTATCTTGTTGAGGAAGGGTGGGGAAAGCAGATGGGGGAAGTCTCATTTTTAAATGGAGTCTTGCTTTCCGTTAATTCTTCTCTCCCCCCCCCCCCCCTTCCCCCACCCTGTTGCGGAAGGGTGGGGAACGCAGATGGGGGAAGTCTCATTTTTAAATGGAGTCTTGCTTTCCGTTAATTCTTCTCTCCCCCCCCCCCCCCTTCCCCCACCCTGTTGCGGAAGGGTGGGGAACGCAGATGGGGGAAGTCTCATTTTTAAATGGAGTCTTGCTTTCCGTTAATTCTTCTCTCCCCCCCCCCCCCCCCAGTTCTCAACATCAGTACTTCTGCTCAGTTGACCATCACCATGCCTCCTGAGTTTCAGCCTGTGGAGTCTCCACGTCCAAATTCACCTCTGGCATATTTCCCGTATTTTGACAACCAGTATCTGGCAGTGGCTGCCTCACTTAATGGCGGAAATGTGATGGCAACGTTCGTGAACATGCTCGTTGAATGGATGGCTGAACTGGGTAAAGTATTCCAAGAAAGTGACGGGCTTAGCATAGCTCAGGTCGTGCAATAAGGCGGTTTTTCCACAAGGAGCGTCACAAGCAATTGAGAATGACTTCGTTTTTCCAAAAGTGGTTGTACATCTGCAAATTTTAGGTATCAGATTCTTTGGCGCTTGCCAAAGTGAGACTTTTCCCAGCATGAAAATCACAGAGTTCTCTTCAGCAAGATTTATTGAGAAGAAAGGGATGCGATTACAAGAATTCCAGCAACTAAACAACTTCCTTCTAACAGCAATTCACAAGTAGTCCTTGTTTAACAACTGTCTTGGACATTGACCATTCGCAGTTACAACAATGATGAAAAAGTAACTTTGCGGACAATGCCCACATTTAAAACCTTCCTAGAATCTCTGTCTCAGTCACGTGTTCACCATTACTGTCAGGACATGCTGTCCTGCGCCTGACCAGTTTTTTTCTTCTTGCCCCCCTACCCCCCACCCCGAGCAGAGAGATTGCCTAAGCAAGTGATCTCTTCCTGAGCTGCTTTTCTGGGCAGCACAGGGTCCCTAAAAAGTGCTAACCCCCAGTTAACAAGCCCAGCTCTGTGATCTAATTAGTTAATCAGAAGCTGGGCCAGCTGCTATCTGAAACTGACAAGACCCTAATCAGTTTCACACTAAAGGCTTTTGTTTGCCACCTAAGCAGCCCCCAGGGGGCTAGGCAAATAGCTGGTGCTAGTGCATTCCCCATGGCGTGCCTGCTTACTCTCTTGTAATCCTTTCCTCTCCAACGAATGGAAATACAAACATTAATTCTCTTCTTGCTAATTATCCCAACGCCAAGGTGAGCATTCCCAAGGGCGGGGGAGTGGGGAAAAAGGGCTATAAGATTTGCCCTTTTACCCGACTTCCTCGTGAGTTGAGTTTGGGTTCACCCAGCTGTTTGGGGCCATATCCTTCTGATGCTGTAAAGCAAAGGAAAGCTGAAGTAAAATCGTATGCACAGTTGCAGTCACATGATTCTTCACTTAGAGACAGTTTCACTTAAGAACCAAGTTGCCGGTTCCAGGTGTGGTTGAATTATAGAATAATGGAGTTGGAAGGGACCTCAGAGGTCCCCAAGGCCAGCCCCCTGCACACTACGTGATCTGGCCTCTATTTGAAAATCTCCAGTGAAGAGGAAGGAACCACTCCATGCAGGCCTTCCTGTTTGAATGTATTATGCAGAACGATGGTATACTTGACCCTGTCACAGTCCGGTGTTCCCTCTCTAACCCCTTGGTAGAAACGTTCTCCTCTTGGGAAGCGATTGTAGATATTCTGTTTGGAAAATGTTGCTTCTCCATCAGCTGTAACAGCACATTCTCCTCCTTGTTGGAAGAGACATGTGGTACTGGAAACACACTGGCAATGCCAAGCCTCACCCAGTGGGCAGGTTTGAACAAAGTAGAGAAACTAAGAACCCAACATGCCCTGATAAGTAACTTTTATTTAAAAAAAGTTAGGGAGCCATCATGGAAGAATTCTATTCTGTGTATCTCTGGGGGAAGCCCTATATAGGAGCAATGACTCAAAGCCTTTCTCATCCCCTGTGATTAAACCATGGCTTCGCATGATTGTGAGGCTACTTGCTGGCTCTCTGCTCCCTTTTCTAGCCCGTGTACAGCAAACATGAGGACACCCCCCGCCCCCCCCCAAAAGGTCAGACTGCTCCCTGCCCTTCTGGTATTCATTAAGTCATTGAGGTTTGAAAAATGAGATTGTTTCTTCAGTTGATTATGGAATCTTCCATGGGAAGTTTTTTCCTTTTTGCTGGAAGAATTATTACTGTGGTTGTTCCTGTTATTACCTTGTTTGGTCTTTTTAATCCTGATCCCTGGATGAGCCACTTAGAGTCGCTGGCAATTAGAGTGATATCTAAACCTACGAAAGAAATAAATACAGGTAGTCCTCACTTAACAACCACAATTGGGACCGAAATTTAGGTCGTTAAGCAAATCATCAGACCCAATTTTACGACCTTTTTTGCGGGGGTTGTTAAGCACATCGCACAGTTCCCCATTGATTTTGCTCCCAGAATTCCCCAGCATGCCTGGCTGGGGAATTCTGGGAGTTGAAGTCCATCCATCTTAAAGTGGCCAAGGTTGAAAAACACTGACTTGGAATAGGGCAGGAGGGGGCAGCTGGGAAGAGGCACCATTTTTGAGATATCACAGAAAGTTGGGGTACTGTTAAAAATTCCCCATTCTTCACCAAAGCCTTTCCCAGGGAATCGAATAGGAATGGGGAGAAAAATCCTTTCTGAGAGACGAAACTCTCTGAAGATCCTCCTGTACCGTCTCTAGCCTATGATTCAAGCCGCAGAAGAGCTTCTTAATGGGGATTTTGGTTTCATTTACATCCCTGCTTTCTCTGTTTTCTTAGGGTTTCAAGAGCTTAATAGCTCAAGTGCCATTAAGTCATTGGTTTAGTCTCTGCCCCCTCCCCCTCCCCCCACACTTAGCATGTTCTGGGCCATCTTCAGCCTGGAAAGGAAGAGGACGAAAGCCATTACCCTTCCCCACAGTTCATATTGGCATCCCATCCACAAGACGCTTCAGGCTATGGATAGAAGAGGCAAAGTTTGGGTTTATATCTCTGGTGGGACCCAGGACTTCCCTGCTTTCTTTGTCCAGCTGACATTCAGTATTCCCTGGATGGTGATTTATCAATCTGTGCCTCTGTGCGTCTCATGAGTCTGCGTGAGTTAAATTATTTGCGCAAACTGCAGGGTTCCTTCCCAAAGAACCCCCATCCTCTCCTCTCTGCATTTTCCCTTCCAATGGGACGGAAATACCCTTGTTCTGCGTCCCTCAGCACCTGACAGCCCCCCCAGGTAGTCCAGACCGGGAAATCCACTCCACCAGAAGGCTAGCTCCTTTGATGGAGACTGGCCCTAATAACAGACTCTTGCAAGTCGGATTCTGTTGGATCTCCTTCCCCTTCTTATACTCCTGCGAATCAGGGAGGTGTCTGTCTGAGCCACTTCCAAATGTTATCTGGATGTTCTGGACTTAAAAAACGTCTCAGCCCCTTTTCCTTAAGTGCAGTTCCTGCATATTTCCATCAAGGTTATCTTTCTCATTCTCTACAGCAGTGATTCTCAACCTTGGCCATTTGAAGATGGGTGGACTTCAACTCCCAGAATTCCCCAGCCAGCCATGCTGGCTGGGGAATT